GTAACAACACTACTGACTGTTGTTACCTCCATGGATTTATAATATTATACCCTAAAATATTGATAACATTGATCTCTCTTTCTCCTTCAGTTCCATTATGTGACCCAGTTATTACTTCCTGTCCACTTCCTCTCATGACTGTCCGTTTCTCCTCCATAGTCACATGGTCCTAACTTTGTCCCTAAATCTGTCCGTCCTCTCCTTCTTGTCTCTTCTCCTCTATCTGCCCGCCATCATTATTACTATTATTTACTACCCATCAGCCCCTGCCTTCTGCCAATATGCCACTGTGGGCCAGTTTGTTTTTAGGCTCACGTTTCTGTCTCATATCTGTCTTTGTGCTTCTGCTGTCCACCCCTGTCCTACCTTTGACCTATTGTTGTCTTCATCTCTGTCTGTTGTTTTTGTCACTGATTAAAACCAACTCGCACATAAAAGGTGAGAGAGTGGGAGGATGGGAGAGAGTGAGAGGGAAGGATGGATAGATGGATGGATGGATGGATGGATGGATGGGTGAGTGTGTAGAGAGAGACTCCGTCATCAGAGTGGTCTAGACAGGCTGCTGTCTGGTGACATTCATACAACATTGAATTCAGTGTGTGTGTGTGTGCGCGCGTGTGTGTGGCGGGGGTGTATATAAGGGTAAAGTGAGATGTTAAAGGAGAGAAGTGAGAAAACATCTAAAATAAAGACAGGTGAGGGTGAGGTGGGAGACTGGGGGAGTAAAAGAGGAGCTGCAGAGACAGGGTGATGAAGACATCTTACAGCTGAGACAAACAGACAGGGCTGGCTGCAGGAGTAGAAGTTTCACTATCTATTCAGCTCTACTATCTGAACACCACATGCAGACCAGCCTTCAGCCAGTCTGTGGAAAAGGAGCAGTGAACTGCCACGATGCTGCTCCGTGTGGTAGGTTGGTGTACACATTGTGAACTCAGTATTGGACATAAACCAGGTTTTAGGTCAGAAGACAGGAGGTTGAAGATGTAAAGTCAAAGCTTTATTGACACAGCAGAGTGAGTGTTGAGGTCACCAACCTTTCTGGAGCTGAGAGCTACTTCAAGGGTACTTGGAACTACTTGGTTGATACACAAACTCACAAACAAAGAAATCATAATCTGAACTACAGCTGCTCCTGTCTCCTTTCTCCTCTCTATAATGTAGGAGAACGCCAGAAGAGGAGCCACTAAGACTCCTCCGACCTGTCCTCCCTAATCTGCGCATTCCATTTTACTGCCCAGCAGTGGACTTTATATTCTTTATAATTCATTTCAACTTTTACTTTACCACAAAAAAGGTCTGCTGTGGAGGGAGAACCTGTCTGTGTGGTCACTGAGCAGAATGGTGCATGGAACTGTTTTAAATGCACTTTTCTTCCTTATTGTGTTAACACGGGAACAGGGATCTGACTGCACCCTAGTCTGAGGGGCATTAACCACAGCCTGCCCTGTCCCCGTTCTATTGTCAAAAATGAATGTTGTGCCACCACACTCAGCCAGGCCAGAATCTTACAGTTGCTTCCACAGCACCACCTACAGGGGAGTGTCTGTACTTATGTAACAATGTCCAAAAATGAACTCACACAGTCATCTTCCTGCTGCAGCTGCCCCCCACCACCCCTCACCCACCCCAGAGTTCAGAGCTGTTCCACGTGGACTGGACCACAGCTCCATGTTTCAGTGGAGATGACAGTTCATGCTGCTGCAGCTTCTAATGAGGGCTGATATGTGAAAGAGGAGAGAAAGGTGCCTCTTCAACCTCGGCCTCCCTCTTTCTCCCTGTCAACCCCCCAATTCACCCCTGCACCCTTTACCCCCCCCCCCCCCCCCTCCCTCTCCCTCTTCCTCTTTTTGCTGCCCCTGATCCTTCACCCCATTGTTCTGGCGTACTCAACAATGGCTGAGGGGTGAATGGACAGAACTAAAGTTCTGCCCTCTCTCCCTCTCTCTCTTTCTCTGCCTCCTCTCTTTCTGCCCCCTCATGTATTTTTATGCATTTTAAACATTCCTTTTGAAAATGCTTTCATGCATCATCAGCAGCAGCAGCAGCAGCAGCAGCAGCAGCACATGTCAGCTGTAGAGACCTCCAGCCTTCAGTCCCTTCAGTCTGGTCCACACTGAGACGTCAGGACAGGTTTTCATCTGAGGACTTTTTGATTTCAAGGATGTTCAAGGTTCAATTGAACTACCAAACACAGGACCACGGTTATGTGGAGTGTGTGTGTGTGTGTGTGTACTAGTATTTAAGGATATATTTGTCAATAATGACATTAGTGGAGGTTTTTTCACAGGTTCTCTGAATGTGAGGATATCTTTAAAGCCCAGCGTCGGCCCTGGATAAGAGCTAGGATTTATTAATCCTACTATATTTTAGGATACTAAAAGTGTGGTTCACGGGTCAAAGAGTGGCTAATGTCTTTCAGTGAAGAACTTCTGTGTGTCTTGTGTGTGTGTGTGTGTGTGTGTGTGTGTTTGCACGCAGGTTTGGGGGTACATCGGGGAGGGGGGCTGGTATGGTCTTTCACGGTTGCCTATAGCAACCGTTGACGAGCTAGTGAGGGAGAAGGCGTCCCGTCTTTGTATGTGTGTGTTGTCTGCGCGTGCGCGTGCAACATGCCAACGTCCCGCTGCGCGACCCCTCGCGCCAATTCCATCTCAAACAATTGGCTGAGAGATATATAGAGAGAGCGGAGAGAGAGAGAGAGAGAGAAAGAGAGGCGTGCAGGAGCTCAAGACAGAGTGAGAGAGAGACTAATGCACAGACAGACGGAGAGAGAGAGAGAGAGAGAGACTGAGACACACACACTCTCTCCCTCACACACACAGACAGAGGATGGCTGGGTGGATTTAGTGGCGGCAGCGTCTTTTCCCGTTCACCACAACAAGCTCATTATCCTTCTCTCTGTACGCGCCCGGAAAAGGATTTACGCGCACGAACAGGTTTGTCGGTTTGTTTGTTTGTTTGTTTGCATGTCAGCTCCATTCATCATCCTTCTGCTGTCTGTCCCTCCGTCTGTCTCCTGTCCGTCAGCCGTCTTCACCGTGTGTTCTTGTCCTGCAGCAGCTGAGGCTACAGGTCCGACGGAGGACGGTCGGGTTAACCTGGCAACAGGGGGACAGGTGGGAGTGGTGGGGCTGTGTGTGTGTGTGTGTGTGGGGGGGGGGCACAGAGGTGATGGAGGTCCGTGTGTTTTTGTGTGGGGGGTGGAGGCGGACGAGCACAATACACTGAGTTACACCGAGTGCTGTGGTTCAAGATGCGCGCGCTAATGAAAGAGACGGATTATGATAAAATGATGATGATGAGTGTGTGTGTGTGTGTGCGTGCGCGTGCGTGTGGTTACAGAGCAGCAGGGGTCAAACACATGGTCCGGACCGGTCTGGTCAAACTGGTCCATGTGTCTGATCGGGATTCATGGAGTTAGAACCTGGTCCCTGTGAAACTGAACATTGTTGTTCTACCAAACAATAACTGAGATGATTGTAGTCCGATTGGTGTAGTAACAGGCGGAGAGCCAGTGGTACGACTGTGAGAGAAACATGTGGTACTGTTGCTGCATGTTATTGTTGCCGTGTGTTACTGTTAGAGTGTGTGTGTGTGTGTGTGTGTGTGCACGGACAGGTCAAACACCATCAGCTCGTGTCACTTGCTCTGAAGATCAGTCCAAATGTTGTCAGGTGTCTGCGCTGCTCACCACCGTCAACAACAAAAACAACAACATGAGAAAAATAAAAGCGAGACGGCCGTCGGTGGGGGCGGGGGCGGGTTGTTGGTCAAATTTATGGAGCGCGTGTAAAAACGCACGCACGCACATGGTCGCGCATCATTCAAACGTGCGTGAAGGAGGTCATCATCAGAATCACGTCATCACTGATGGCATCAGAATTAGTGTTCCTGTTTACAGTGTGGACATTTGATAAAAGAAGGGGGTGACGTCACCTCTCATATATACACACTCATTGGGGGCTGTTGTTGTGAATTTGGCGCCCTCTTGTTTGTCTTACTCCCCCCACAACCACCACCACCACCACCCCCCACCGGCCCCCGTCTATTGTTGCTGGAGCTCGCTGCTCCTGTCTGCCGTCCAGTTACTGATCACTAATCGAATAATCGATATTGATCATTAATCGATCTGTCTGCTGCTCAGTCCATTGTTCCTTCGGTGTCTGTGATGGTGGAAGCACATGCACACAGATGTGTGTGTGTGTGTGTGTTTGATAATGTTACATCCATCGTCAGAGTCTGTGACCTCCTTTCCGCGCCTCCGTTTTTTTTTTGTCTGTAATGTAAATTAATTATCTTGTCGTTATTGTCCCCGCTGCAGTAAAAGCAAATAAAACTGTATTTTTTTATTTGCACATTTCAGTTAAAATCATGATAAAAACGACACCGTCGCCATATTAGAAGTTTGGCCCTGAAATGGAGGGGGAGGGGGCTCCGTGGAGCTCATTAGCAATGCAAACGAGATTTCTTTCTCAAAGAGGGCTCGGGCACCTGCTGCCGCGAGCATGCGCATTGGAGGGTAGCCCCCTCCACACAGAGCCGGGAGCGCGCCTCAGCTTTGACAGGATTAAACAAGGAAAATAAAATGAAGAAGAAATGTTGATAAAAACAGAGAAGAAATTTGATAGAAATTCTAAAGTGTTGAAACATTTTAACTGTAGATAGCAGCAGAGAGAGCTACATTTAAACATCTATATAGAGTACAACATTTATAAAATCTCTTCAGATTAATAATAACAGTTAATAAGCAGTAGACTGTGATAAAAATAGAACTATTGAACCACATGAATTTTTGAAATAATTCTAACGAAGGCTGAATAGGTAATGACGATAGACAGAAATACTCTAGTGTTTGAGTATTTTTACGGGTAAAAGAAAAACATTTACCAGTGTTTACAGGAACAGTTTTAAGATGACATGATTTCTGGTTTAATTCCCATGTCTTTTTCTTCCTCTTTCTCTTCCTCTTCTCCTTCTTTGTCCTTTTCCTTCTTCTTCATTTTCTTTGTTTTCACTGTCAGCACTTGACTTTGGTTCCTTATCCACTCTTGTTTTTAATTCTTCACCAAACTTCTTCCAGATGTTCTGTGGTGGCCTGTTAGCGTGGTGTCTGTGTAGATTCTCATTTTTCACATCCTTTGTTGTGTGCTGGATGTTCTAACAGTATAATGTTACAGCTGTTACTGCAAACGTGTCTAAGCTTTGGTTGATAAACAGACTCCACTAAGAAGAGAAGAGATTCATCCACAATGTTAGAGTTAGTTGCTCTGAGCTAACTGCTGAAGCCTTGATTGGAAAGACTAACACGAGCAGTGATTGTTGCTCCACTATCATAGCCTAAAATTACACATGTGAAGAAAGTTCTCCTGCACATCTGATGAGATAACATTATCATAGATGGTGCACATTTTTAGCCTCTGCTGCTGTTCATTATCCACGTCAGGCTTCGTCATGGGTTAAGTTGTGCACTGATTATTCGTGAAGAGGAATGTGAGGCAATGCATTAAAACAGGGCAGTGTGTATGAGCAGGATCAATACCCTGTTGTTGTTTTAACAATGAACTGAGCCAGTGATGAAGGAGTCAATCTCAGAGTAGTTTAGTTCACTGTTGTGGGTTAAAATGGTGGCTGTGGGTCATTAGGTGCAAATTCTATTCATCAGTATCGATTCAGGTTCAGGAGACTTTCAGGAGTTCAGGAATCTGCATACAGTACAGTCCTACAGTAGGTCCCAGGTCTGAAGTCAAACCAGGACTCAACAGAAAGACAATCAAAATCAAACCACTCTTTGCAGATTTTTTGACAGCTGACTGTAAAACATGGGTTTTTTTACTAATGGTTTGATGATATATCCCAGGTTAGACTGCTCTTAGACTGCCCCCTTTTGGATGTTGATGGAATACAAACCCAAACCTAATGAGACTCGTGTGTGAGAACTGTTGTCAATTCGCCCACACTACATTTTACCACACACACCGTTTGTAGGTGATATAGAATAGAACAGAACTAAACAGCCTTTATTGTCAGTGCCAAACACTGCAGCATAGTAAACCTGTGCTAAACCTACCGTCCTGTGATACAACCCTTTCAGATTTGCTGAAGCCAGTGATTATTTTGACTAAAGCTTACCAGGACATTCAGGTACAAACTAAAGCATGGATGGCCAGTACTGCAGCAGTACTACATGTTACTCTGAGTGAACAACAGCAACTTCCAAGTCAGAACAAATCTGCTCCATTAACTTTAGAAATGGCTGAAATTAGGATAAATATGTGTGGAATGTCTGGACGAAGCCATGGCCATGTTCATGGATGCAGACACACATAAAGGCTTCACACATAGATGGGAACATGCAGCGTATAAGACAAGAATTCCATGCTCTGTGTGTGTGTGTGTTGATGTGCTGATATGTGCGTGTCACCCTCAGCCTCTCCATCCTAACTGACATGCCTGGTGGCTGTAGGAAAACAGGGTCACACTGGAGAAAAAAGAGAGAGCCAGTGCGAGCACATGATGGGCAGATAAAGGCTTGTCTGTGTCTGAGGGAGAGGAGCGCGAGGAGGATGAGAGGAGGGGAGCATCATGAAGGGGCCTCTCTGTTGGAGAAGGGAGCTTAGCCTCTATAGAAGGCTCCCATGGAGGACAGAAATGAGGCATTGAGTGTGTGAGTCAGCCTCTGTAACACCATAATGGACTGAAATAATGATGCTACTATGGACAGGGGAGGACAGAGGAGAAAAGACAGAATGCTCCTTTAATCTCACAGGCTCCTTTGTAGTGAGAGGAAGAGTTTGGAGCCAAGACTTATTTCTCATATGCGTCCAAACCTGTTCGTGCTTACACCAAATATTTAAAGCTGAGGACATTCTGGTCTTTGAGAAGTCCGACCCATGACACGTGACCAATCACGGGGCAGCTTACATTGTTGACTGCCGTTGTACATGTGTCTACAGTCACGGAGTTCCAGTGTTGGTAACAACTGTCTACGTTGTCATCAGGGTGGTCCAGCGTTGACACAGACCACCGGTGCATCAGCAGGTTTGGGTTGACACCCAAACCTGGTTTTTATTGACACAGCAAATAATCACTTTTAGTTTGTCTTTTAATCAGATGCTCATCCTGACAAACCCTGAACCTGCAGGTGGCAGACAGACCTACCACAGACCCACCAGTCTAGATTAGAAGACCTGGCACCTGTAGTTGAGACCCAAACACCAGCAGAGAATCCATAGATGATAATGATGATTCTAATAGTGTTATAGTACCGATTGATGTCATCTTCACAGCAGTGTCTGACTTTCAGATACATCAGCACTCAGACTGGTGTTTGTATGTGTGTGTGTGTGAGACATGTCCACCTGTGTGAGAGTGTGTGTGTGTGTGTGTGTGTGTGTGTGTGTGGCCTCTTCTAATCCCTCTGATGGATTTAACAGGCTTAAATCAAGTGTCATGTAGTTTCAAACTCAACTGCTCCCTACAGGAAAATCTACTTTCCTCTTGATCCTTCTGCCCCCAGGTCAAGTAAATGTCACAGGTGAGGTCAAATGGTTGAACTAGTGCAGTACCCTAGCACATAACCAAACTGGTACAGATGCCTAAGTGCAGCATTGATGTCCAATATTTTTGTGTTGCATGTCTGGTCCAGAATGTGCACCACAGCTTTAGAACCCGGCCCAACACAGGCAAACCAGCACTACTGGATCATCACATGGTTCTGTATGTAGGCCAAGTGAAAGTAGGATGTGTGTGTCTGGTCACCAGGCCAGAATGATTCTGCTGTGGAGAATTAATAGAACCAAACATAGATCTTTGGAAATATATAAAAAAAACATTATTTCCACGGAGATGAGCTTTAATAACACCGTGGACCACAGGGACACCACAGGGACACCACAGGGACACCACAGGGACACCACAGGGACATCAGCTCCAGGTC